AAAATCTTGTAAGCAAATCTTGGCGCAGGGATCGGTTGTATTAATCCCATCAGGCTCCATTATACGACTCCGGGGTGATCATGCCAATAGAGATATCAAATTAATGCAGGATCTTCTGCTTCCCTGAGGCCACCTGGAACCCAACGGAGATCCTGATGGCTAAAAGCTTGTCCTAACTCAAAAGGCCGACTTGAGATGAAGAGAGAAGAAAGGGCCGTGTGTGTCAAACACAGGTTTGGAGATGGGGAAATTCGTGTCACACATGCACGAACCGATTCAAAATATCAAAGTCAACTTTTCTTCATTGACGTCCTCGTTGAGGCACGTCTGTTTCTCACCCAATGAATTCAGGGTGGTCCTTGCAGAAACCCGAGCAAAACAACCATCTTCAGATATCAATAGAGATTTCTCCTGCAACTGGCAACTAGAGGCATCAATCTTGCAAGTGCTGACTTTCCATTTCCCGAGCTGGTTATATTTAGAAAGGACGATCTGCATAGTCTGCTTTTCAGAGCATGACACGACACAAGGCCCTTCCCTACTTATCCACCAACTAAGCAGATCCAAAACCCTCAGCTCTCTACCCCAAGCAATCTCAGTTTTTCACCAAAGTAGACATTCCTGGAAATGAAGCGATCCTTTCTTAGTAAGTAAGTAAGACCACACCTAGAGTACGGCATCCAGTTTTGGTCACCACACTGTAAAAAAGATGTTGAGACTCTAGAAAGAGTGCAGAGAAGAGCAACCGGGATGATGAGGGGACTGGAGGCTAAAAGATACGATGAATGGTTGCAGGAACTGGGCCTGGCTAGTCTAGTGAAGAGAAGGACCAGGGGAGACAGGATAGCAGCCTTCCAATATTTGAGGGGCTGCCACAGAGAGGAGGAAGGAGTTAAGCTATTTTCCAAAACACCTAAAGGCCAGAGAAGGAATAATGGATGGAAACTGAACAAGGAGAGATTCAACCTGGAAATAAGGAGGAATTTTCTGACCGTGAGAACAATCAACCGATGGAACAGAAGTTGCCTTCGGAAGTTGTGGGAGCTTCATCACTAGAACCTTTCAAGAAGGGACCAGACTACCATCTGTCAGAAATGGTGTAGGGTCTCCTGCTTGGGTGGGGGGGTTGGACTAGATGACCTCCAAGGTCCCTTCCATCTCTTTTAATCTGTATTTCTCCTTTGGGGGTCTACACGTCAGATGGATGTACCACCGAAACTGAGCCCTGGACAATGCTTCAATCTGGCTCAAGACTTTTCTACCCACCAACCAGGTTTGGTCCAGTTTGTGGGGGCAATAAGATGACCTTGTATAAATATACAAAAGTATGAAGGCTATTGCTTAACGCATTGTAAGCCGCCCTGAGTCTCTGGAGAAGGGCAGCATATAAATCAAATTAAAAAAAAAAAAAACCTATGTTGTCATTTGAGGTAGAGTTTTGGTGCAGGTAGTCCTTGACTTACAACCGTTCGTTCAAAGACACAACGGCACTGAAAAAGGCCACTGATGACCGTTTTTCCACACTTATAACCATTGCAGCATCCCCACAGTCACATGATCAAAATTCAGACGCTTTTGGCCACGGACTCATATTTATGACGGTCTCCATGTCCCAGGGGGTCACGTGATCTGCTTTTGTGACCTTCTGACAAGTCAACAGGGAAGCCAGATTCGCTTAATGATGGTGTTACTCACTTAACAACCGCAGGGATTCACAGAGCAACAGTGGCAACAAATGTCGTAGAACGGTGCAAAATAGAGCTCGAAGGGTCCTTGGGCAGTGGGAGTGGGTTGGACTAGATGACCTACAAGGTCCCTTCCAACTCTGTTCTTCGGTTAAATCTGAGGATTTTATCTCTCGTAGCAACCCAGAAAAACCAAGAATTTCTTCAGTCCACGCTGAGAAGCAAAAACCCAACCGGGAATTCTTCCAACACCTCCTCCCCCTTCATCTCAAAGATTTAATGCCGTCGAGGAAAGCAAATGGCCAGATAACGGTAAAGCATCATAACTGCCTTCAGCCATCTCTGAAATCAAAACCTAGGCTAAGCAGTCTTCTTTTTTTTTCATGCAAGGCATCTTTCAACGTTCTCTATTTGATCGGTTAATATATATATATATATATATATATATACCCTCCTCGGCCTCATCAGACTCGACAAACAAGGGAGAACACACATTCCTTTTCCGATGACACCTCCATGCTTGGTGGTAACAGCTTCTATTAAATTAATGATGTTAACCTACACCATGAATTAAGCAAATTGTATGCAAATACTGTTTGAGTAGCAATACAGCAGTTATCAGCTGTCTGCAAAAATAAATTAGTTTGGCAGGGTAAAGATATTGTGGAGCCGCATATTTAATTGAGTGCTAATTTTATTGTGATTATTACTTTTAAGTAACAACAGCGTGGTTATTAAGCAACATAATGTGATGGGTTTACACAGAACTGATAAAAGAAAAAAAAACAACAACCTCTTCCTTAAACTGAGCTGGCAGGAAGATTATTCTGATACGGAGTAATTTATGGTTTCCATAAATGGCTGGGGTGTTTTTTTGTTTTTTTTTTAGGTGCTATGAAAAATAAACGACAATAAAATAAATACAACTTGCCACATTTTGGGGAATTCCAAGCCAGGCAGCTACACAGTGTGTTTGGCAAAATGACAGGAGCAGTTTCACAGGCAAAGGTA